CCAAAATGTAAAGAAAGAAGAAATGCATGGATACATCATGGTAGCACTGGTATAAAAGATTTTATTGTCCCTAAAAACTTTTTTGTTTGTTCACATCACTTCCTTAAAAAAAAATCTACAAAAGATAATCCTGATCCAACTTTGTTTTATTTAAAATCTCTATTAATACCATAACAACACCATAAAAGAGAAAAGTACTTTTTCCACAAAACTCAATTATTAATTCTAAAAAGGTTTTAGTTATGAAAGAAACTAATTCAAATTCGATAGATGATTCAACATCAACATCATAATCAGGAGACATAATATTGCTTCTGTTAATTCAACAGAACTTGACCTTTTTCTTAATTTCAAAATTTTGTTGCTGCCATCCCAATACGTCATAAGAGAAGCTTTGTTTGAGATAATTAAAGACACCTGAAAATTTTTTGTACTCACCAAACCTGTAAAAAAAATTGCACATCATTTTCACGTGTCAACTGGCAGAACATCATTGGGACAGACACTAGAAATTCACTAGATGATGCTATTTCTCTTTCATCTGCAACAACAAAATTCAACTCAGAATCACCACAGTCAACATTGAATTAGTTTCTTTCATAACTAAAGAATTAATAATTGAGTTTCGTGAAGTTTTACGTACTTTTCTCTTTTTTGGCGTTGCTATGGTGTTAGTAGAGATTTTTAAAAACAAAGTTGGATCAGGATTATCTTTTGTAGATTTTTCTTCAAGGAAGTGATTTAAACAAACAAAAAAGTTTTTAGGAACAACAAAATCTTTTGTACTAGTGCTACCATAATGTATCATGCATTTGTTCTTTCTTTACATGTTGGTAACTTTGCATTACTAAATTTCCTTCAACATTGCTATGTTTTATAATTTTGTCAGGGTATCTTTTGTAATTATTACAGACACCAACTACACATCTGCTATGAATTGGCATTATATTTCATACTAGATATTACTTACTAAATGCTTTTATTTAAAAAAAAGCAATAAAAGTATATTATTAAATTTTCTTCAACATAGCTGTTTTATAATTTCGTCAGGGTATCTTTTGTCATTAATAAAGACACTAACTAAAGATCTGCTTTGACTTGGCATTATAATACATACAATTTAATTAACTAGTTTTAAACTAATAACTAATATTTTATAATGTTCACTGTAATAAAATGTATGTACTAAAGTGAATTCTTGATTTAAAGTTTTCATACGGTATAGTTTGCACCATTTAAAATACTAAATACAAAATTTAAAACCATAAAAAAGGTGTAATATCACCTTTCCTTTTGTTTTTAAATTGTGAAGATATAATTTCAAGAATAAGTTCCATAACAGCAAAAGCTCTTGCAACAAGTTTACCATTTTTTGCTAATATTTTTAAACCAAGAATTAACTAATAAACTATGAGTTATTTTGAACTTAAATTATGAAAATTTTCATACTTTTATATGAAAGTTTGCATAAAAACGGAAAGTTCAAAGTTCAACTTGCACCCCAAGAATATTTTTCCAAGATGGCTACGCTAACTCCGAAATCGTCTATTGACCAAACTTAGGCATGTAAATCAGAGGTCTGCTTAGACTATTTTTGTTCGCAATAACGATATCACTATATATTTCATCAAACCCTGGTGTTTTTTTTTAAAAAAAAGAGTAAAAAGTTTTTCAAATATTTTATAGCTTAATTCATTGTCGTACATTATAATAGCGTTACTTCAGGTTTCAGGTAGTTTTCAAACAAATTAGAAGATGCAAATTTGATAGCAAGGAAACGTATTCCGTCTTTAACAACATAATGGGAAAAGAAATAATGAATTCGCCATTTCTACCTAAGAGAAATGGTGAACTAAGAACAATGATATGTTATTTGGTTTGTTATAAGAATTTAAAAAAGGAATGTTTTATGTAAGTAAAAACATTTAAGAAAATAAACGAGACTTAACAGAATGGTGCAAATAGTAACTTTTACTAAATATGCATCGGTTTTTAACTTGATACATTGCACAGTGGACCAAAATCATTATTAGCCGGACAAAAGTATTAATTTTAAAATATTTATCAGGTTTTCCCCATAATTACCAGGTTGAGTTGTATGCAATTCTGGGATCTTAGAAACCAGTTAATTTTTTTCAAACTTTTACTTAATTCAAAATTTCTTTAAAAGATGAAATAAAAACTTTGAAAACAATCTTAAATCTTAGGCTTTATAGGAACAGTTAATTAAATTTTAATTAATTATATCTATGTAGTTCAATTGTCCTTATCAACCAAATAAAAATCAACAAGTTTCATACAATTAGAGCTAAAAAATATTTTACAAAGTATATTTAGGAAAACAAACAAACTTGTATATTCACAAGAAACATATTTTTACATAACATGCATAATATTGTTATATAAATAATAAAAACGAATAAAGTAAACACCATTTTGAATAACAACGAAAATCAAAACTATATAAATGCAATTTACACTCAGTTACTTCTTTGAGTAGGTCAAGAACACCAAGAGCGTTTTTCTAAGGATGATGGGGTTTTCTCAAACTACTTATCAAAGGGTCAGAAGAACACATTAGTCGCCTTAATAAATCTTTATTTGTTTTGGAACGCGAAAACTTTCTGGAAAATAATTTACGAAACTTCTTAAAGCTTTTATTTTGAGCTTTTTGTGTCTCTTCACTAAGCATGCCATTAGGCATAGCCATTCTCTCTATAACTTTCCGACCACGGGTATGAATGTGATGCAGACTCTGTGGCATATGATACCAGCAATACCATAGGTTTACTTACTTCTCAGCTATTTTGTAGCAGTATTCTCTAAATAGCGAAGAGTCAATTAGAAAGCTAGATAACAATGTACACAAAATAACATTCAACATCTTTATCATACTGACATCAAGTTCAAGAATTTGAGCGGAATTCTCTGCATTCTGAAAAAATCTTTTAACAGTGTTTCCATTATTTGAAGATCCAGAACCACCAGACATTGGCATATCAATTACTAGTCCAAACTCATCACGAAACCTTATTTGAATTTTCTGTTTTCCTTCTTGAATAATTTTCTTTTCAGATAGTGTCCTTGTAGCCCACTTTTTCACCGTTAATTTATAACGGTGAAAAAGTTTAAGAAGATATTACATGCTTTTAATCCAAGCATAGTAAGTTGAAAGACCAAATCAGAGACCTATTTCTGTCAATGGCATATTTTTAGCTGCATTAAGATCATTCATTCTTGTTGAACTAAGTCTAAAAACAGAACAACATTGAGATGTAGTTGCTGTAGATAATGCTGTAGCAACTTTGCCGTCCACCATCGTTTTTTCAATTTTATGAAGTATTGTTAATTTCTCACAAAATGTTGGCAACATTTTCAAATTGAATTGTTAATAAACTAATTCTCTTGTTTCAAAACTTCAATAGTTTCTTTTTTAAATGAGAATCTTATTGGTCTGTAATATAAAGTTGATGATGGATATGGATTAGACCAAATAACTTATTTTTGTCATTAAATCTAAATAACTGAAAGTATCTAAATGACTAAAAAACAAGAAATAAATAAACTTCTTCTAAAAGATTTCTGTTTCTTAACTGTTACCTGAGTATAAATGCTTTATTTAGTTGATCCATCAAACCCAACTTTAGAATGTAATGTTAGTCTTCCAAAATTATTAATGGAATCGATTACTCGTTTCTGCAACTGTATTAACGTATTGCTATATGATCAACTAGTGTTAAAACTTATTTCTTTAGAAAAATCTTTAACAGTCCATAATGTTTGTTCAGGAAGAAATTGTTTTTAGCAGTACGACATTATTGTAAGCAGGATAGAGATTACAACGTTTGCTCACAGTATTGTTTATATAGCGATTATAACCTAAAATTATTTCTCAACCGTTGGTTATTAGATTTGTTCATTTTATTATAAGCTACTATGAGTGCTCAAAACACTTTAAATGAAGCTCTACTTCATTTAAAGTGTCTTGAGCATGTTCTGAATTAGAAGGTTGCTTTAAGTATAAACTTCGAACACTTTCGCATCCTTTCTTTTGCCTGAGCATCAAATTTAAAATAGTATTCACGAATAAAATTATAAATATTAAGTTTGTTTTTTTCATTAGACATAGATAAACCATAATGTTTTATAAATTAATGAACTTGATATTTGTAATGGTTGACATATTACTCATAACAATATTATACTAAAAAATATAAAAATTAAAAAGATTTATTAATATGCAATATATATTATTTTAGATAAAATATTTGAAATATTTTCTTAATGTAGACATGAAAATATATATCTTTTGGAAATATATATAAATAAATGACCATACTAAATTATGTATGACTTTTTATATTTATAAAATTTATTAATAACTATAGTTAGTTATTATTAAATTACAAAATATTATTATAATTAAAAACTTAATTTTCTATATTTTTATGCAGTTATAGAAATTAATTATGAAAAGAATTCTTTAGGATGGGGATTTAATATGGTCATTTATTTACATATATTTCTAAAAGGTATATATTTTCATGTCTACATTAAGAAATTATTTTAGATTTTTTATCTCATATATATGTATATATACAGCTTTCATTTTACAAAAAGTATTAAAAAAAGCAAATGTTAGCAGCTAAATAAATAATTTTATGAAAACATATATATAAAGACTTAGAGCACATATTTTTCCTTGTTGTCCTTCCAAAAAAAGTTTCAAAAAAAGTACAATTGCTATTAAATATTCTATCCAAAATTGGTTTTTGATTTTTTTAAAACTTTTTTTCTTTATTAACTTTATATATAAACAATTTTTTGGTAAGTTAATAAAAACATTTAACCAATATTCCAAAAATTTTAAACTTTTGCTTTGTAAAAAAACATTTTCTCTTTTTATCGCTTTTTTTTTTGGTAAAAACTTTACTTGAAATGAACATTTGCTGAAAATATTTTTTTTTCTTCAGTTTAAATTCAAACATTTTTTAGGTCCTCAATATATCTTATTAATCTTATTAAAAAGTATGAAAAAATGTTAACTTTGTTTAAGGCAATATAGTTGAGTTATCAGAAAAAAAGTTTTCAAAAAAAATCATTATGAAGAAAATCAAAATGAAGTCTCAATGAATCAATGAATTTAATGTAAAGAAGTGTTATCCGTCAAATTTTATACAGCGATTGTAGACTAAAAATTCAATAATTTGCATCATATAAAGATTTTGGATAAAACCATGCTGGACGAAAACTTTTGATTTATCAAGAGTCACCACATTACCACTATCAAATCAGCTGTAGAAAAAGACAACCTAATTATCATTTAAAAGTTAGACAAACAAAATAATGGTTAATGAGAAAATTAACGTATTTATCTACTCTTATACAACAACTTTTAATAAACAATGATTTCATATACTCATACTTGAAATTAAATACTTTATAAGAAATTATAGCTTTATATTAAAGCTTTTTAGATTTAATATAAAATTATGATTGGACAATTAAAAATTAAATTATTTTTTAGATTTAATACATAATTATTTAATATATAATTTATAAATGGGCAATTCATTTTACTCAGCACAAACAGCAACGTTGTGAATGAACTCCGAAAAATAAGTTAGCCTATTTCCAAACTTCTTGCAAATAACAGATACGCTATAAAAACATTGATAAAAATCAAATAACCATGATAAAAACCACACAAATAACTTCAAGGTTGTAATATTTATAAATGTTTTATCATTTAATAAAAAGTAAAATATAAATATTTAAATAAAAATAATAATTTGAATTTTTGAATTAAATATATTATTTTTAAAATTTGTTTTTAATCTTTTAAAAACTTACGATTTTCCTCTATTTAATGTTTTTTTCTCAAGTGCCATTAAATCCTCGATCATAAGAATATCTTTCTCTTGGTACTTCTAAAAGATTTTTTTTTAACATTTACTTAAACCAACAAAATTAAATAACAGTTAATTAAATTAGTTCAGAAATAATTTGATGAAATAGTTATGTGCTTCTAAAAAATTTCTATCAGTTGCATACCTCGTATAAAGCTTTCAGTTCATCACACTGCATTTTTAGTTTTTCTAAATATTAAACTATTTAGTTATTTTTCCATATTTATTATCTTTATATTTTTTTGAAATAATATAAATAACTTAGTTTCATATTTTCTATAAAAACTTTAAAAATTGAACAAATCCTATTTAAATACTTTTTACAACAACAAAATAATTTATTAGTTAATTGTTTTAAAATGTCATTGTGTTACTATTATTTATTATTTAAAATTTAAACAACTCTGATTTCAAAACAATTAATTTTAATTGAAATGTCATCAAATCAAGATAAGTAGCAAGACAATTTTTTGCATTTTCTGGTTGAAAATCCTGGTGTATCAAACAAAAAAATTTCTAAAAGTTACAGATTGCTTTGAGAACAGTGCAGAACGTTGTAAAAACTTTAAAGACAAAATTTAAAGACACTGGTACAATCAAAAGGAAATCAGGAAGCGGAAGAAAAAAAAATTTGTTCGACGAGGTCTTGTTAAAAAAGTTAAAGATACCTTAGACAGAAATTTCTGTTCGAAATTTAGCAAATAAATTTAAGTTAATTGCTTCTACTATACAAATTAAAGCTACCAAAAAAGTCCAGCCAAAGACTGTGCAAAAGCTGATGTCGAGTGTAAAACGCAGAGTGCCTGCGTTCTCACGTACATAACTTCACAAACTTACTCAAGTGAAATTTCTTTTAAGAGGATGAGTGAGAAAAAAAAAATACGTAGTATTAGACTTTTACTAAAATATTAACTTTCAACATTTTAAAATACTATTAGTTGCTTTTGAAGCTAAATTGGTTATTTTTCTCATGCTTATAATATATACAATATTCCATATCAAAATACAATAGTTAAATAAATATTTATATTTAAATAATTATTTTCTGTAATTTTCAACAGTTATTAATGAAAAGTATCTTTAAAATTCATCAGCCACTGTAAGTATCACGGAGTTCTGTGAGTAGCACTTACAGAAATAAAAATAGAAAAAGGATATCATCTTTAGTCAATATTCAGTAATTAATTTTATAAATTTCAAAATTTCCAAATGCTTCTTAAAATAACATTTTTAAATAGTAAATTTTTTCAATTATAAAATTAATAAAGAAGTGCAACACAAGAGACTTGTGAGTTGAAGAGAGAGCTGAGGATATTTGGTATATTCAGTTCAATTATTTATGTGGCTTTTCCGTTGAAGAAGTTTTTAAAGACGTTTATTAATGATGCCTAAATGGCTTTATAATAAGAAGTAGAGGGCGCAATTATTTGTGGAGTAAAGTAAACTTTTTCAAATTCATGATCTATTTTATACTGTTGTATAAGTTTCTTTTGAGATTTTGAAATTGAGATCTTATTAGTTAATGACCTACTAATGCTATGCATTTTGTTGTTTCTTTCTTGATGGTTACTTGGAGAACGATTAACTAGCAACTCAACTTGTATGTCTTTGAGGTCATTTGACACAAGCACAGTAAGGTGATGTTCAGTAGTAGTGACTTTAAGCTAATGACAATGACAACATGAGTTGTTGTTGTTATCCTTTTGATACTAAGTAGTTGTATGAGGATTTGTTTTCTATCTTGCATGCATCACTTGACATTTGTCTAAGTTAAACAGTTTTTCTGACCATTTATTTTGTCTTTGTCATTTTGAAAGCAAACAGCATCTTTGCTTGATTTGATAGTCCCATAGTTTTGCAATTATTGGAATATATTTTGATGATATAAGCAACATTTTCTGGGAAATTGTAGATAAAGAGAAGAAATTGTAGTGGGCTAAGAATAGAAAATTGCGGTATCTCACTTGCGATACTCTCCCAATCAAATTCATGATAATCAAAAACTAACTACAATTGGCTGTTGGTGAGCCATGCTTTGATCTTATTAGTTAATGACCTACTAATGCTATGCATTTTGAGTTTATAGAGGTGAAAGTGTGATACATTATAAAAGGTTTTTTGTAAAGCTGGTGTAAATGACATTGTTAACACAACCTTAGTAAACAACTTCATTAAGATAGCTCTCACTTTGAGTAGATTTGTGACACAGCATCACAAAGCATTACTGGTATAATTAATATAATCATAAAGCATTACTGGTATAAATAACAAATAGTATAAAAAATCATCAAAAAACGTGTATTATTCAACACACAATGAAAGCTTACAGAGAAAAATGACATTATGATTTAGGTATAATGTGATAATAAATTTAGCTATATCATAATTGTTATAGCTATAATATATTATTTACTATCTTTCCAATATTTACCATAATATTCACCATTTCTGTCATAACCTTGAAAAAATGTTTGCTAAAACTCAACATATATTTTATATATTCAATATATATATATTGAAACTATTTAACAAGTATTTATCAGAATTTTGTATTCCTGTCTGCTAGAAAACAAACCAGTTACTTTTTTTTAGAACATTGTAAACCAGAATGATCATTCCTACTGCATCTATTTAGACTGCTTATTATTTTTAACAAAATAATTTTTTCTTCAATCAACAACAACAATTAGGGATTTAAAATAACATAGAATTACCAGTTGTAGTTGCAGTTCACATACCTCAACATAATGTATAATAAAAATAAATCTAAACAAATATTCATATGGTTGCTACATGATAAATAACTTTATAAATATATATATATACATATATATATATATATATATATATATATATATATATATATATATATATATATATATATATATATATATATATATATATATATATATATATATATATATATATATATTAGGGCTGTCTAAAAAAATTTTTTTTTCAGATTTGATTGCATAGTTGTTTATTTTGTGCCATTTGACATATTAATTAACTGTGCAAAAAATCTTTCCGATCAGATAATGTTTAGGGGGTGCTCAATGACCATAAAGTTTTACGAAAAATGTGAAAAACATGGAAAAAGTAACAAAGTTCCACAAATTTCTAAAACCCGGTTAATTAGATTTTTCAGATTTGATCAGTTTTAATTTTCTCTAAATATTAAATTCTGAATACAAATTACAATCCACATCCACTTTATACTGGTTTATTAGCAGAGAAATTAATGAAATAAAATACTGCAATACAACTAAAGTTCTGCGGTTTTTGTTATATCAGAATTTTTCCAAAATAAAACACTAAGATTTTTGACTCTTTGTCATTGATTAAAATACGAATTATTGTAAAGGAGTAACAGTTTCTCAAACCGTTATCAACTACTAAGTAGGTCAACTCAAAAACATATGAGCAATTAACATTTAATTATCGTAATGTTATAGTTCGTGCAATGTTAATGCTAGCGAGGACTATAACTCTTCAGAGTACACTTTCTGGCATCTGGTACTCGCTTTCTGTGATCCTCAACCACCTGATTAACCTCTGCATTTCAGATTCATTCCTTGTAATCGATTCATTAAACATCGACATTAAAGCCACAGATCGTTCGGCAGCATCATTTACTACTTTCAATGAATATACTAAATTTTTTCCTTCTTGGTATTCTGGGGAATCATTCCAGGTAGCTGGATCGTTGTTGAACAGAAAATCAATATCAACCTTCATTGACCGCAACGCACTTGCTGAAACTGATGTCACCAGCATGTCCAGAGATTTCTTCTCTAGACTTTCAATGTTCTTTAATTTGATCAACCTTTCAGACCAGTTCTCACCGTGAAATTTCATGTTGGAAATCATTTTTCGCTTCTCTTCCGTTTTAAGTTTGTTTGAAAACAAAGCTAGTGGGACCAATTCTGGTGAAAGGTACCACAAATGGTTTTGAAATTTCTTGACTGCTGCTTCGGAAATCGTTTTATTCACAACTGCAAACTGCTTAAGTTGCTGAAACAGAAACAAGTCATTAACTGGAGCATCGCTGGCATTTGGGCATGATATCCAAGATTTTACATAAACCAGAC